AGATGGTGTGATGATGATGAACTCCTTGCTCTTGTGCTTCAAATGATAGTCTCCCCAACACTCAATTCTCTCTCACAGATTTGGCTATGGTGGAAAGATGATTTGAGTGGAAAGCAATTTGGGAAAGGCTAGAGATCAAGATTCTTGTGGTTGGATTGGAATGTCTTGGTCTCAACACATGAGTAGATGGTTCTCTCTAAGAAGATGAGTAGTGGAAGTGTAGGCACGTTCTGATGGCTCTCTCTTGAATGGAGAAGGGGTGGAGGAGTATATATAGCCTCCACACAAAATCCAACCATTACACACGTTTGACCCAACTCGGTGGGACCGAATAGAAGAACTCGGTGAGACCGATTTAGTTCAAAATGTGAAAGTTAGGAATCTCGGTGGGACCGGCATGATCAACTCGGTGGGACCGATGTGCTAGGGTTAGGGAAAAACCTCATCTCGGTGAGACTGATTGCACGAACTCGGTGAGACCGATTTCACCAAAGAGCAAATAAAGAGTTGGTCAAGCAAACTCGGTGGGACAGATTGCACATTTCGGTGAGACCGAAATAATTATAATAGGTACCAGAGAGTTTGCAAGGCCATCTCGGTGAGACCGAGATCCCGATCGGTGAGACCGAATTGTCTAGGGTTTCTGGCAGTGGCTAGGTCAAATGAACTCGGTGGCGTCGGATAGATAAAATCGGTGGGGACGAGTTTGACTTTAGGTTTTGGACATATGTGGAAATGAGAAAGTGGCTGAGGGTTTTGGAGCAATATCATTAAGCACTTTGAGCAAGTAGACCATTAAGCAATACCTCATCCCCTTTTAATAGTATTGGTTTTCCTATGGACTCAATGTGATCTTGGATCACTAAAATGAAAATGAAGAGTTTTGAGCGTTTGCCAATCTTTGTCCGTAGCATTTTGAAGGGGTTCCACATCCTCTTGTCCTTGCCACATCATTGTTGAACTCATCTGAAATCTACTAGATAAAAGTATTAGTCCAACAAGAGATATGTTGATATTAATTATCAAAATCACCCAAGGAGCACTTGTGCTTTCATCGGTGGACAGTGTGAGGGGAAACCACTAGTTCAACAGGTAGATATTCCAGAAACTATCGGTGGTATTATATCAGTTTCTTAGCTTCTGGTACTAGTTTGTTCTGTGGACTTCTGATAGGTTGATGCTACATTTTTTTGAGATTTTTGATACTGCAATGTTTTTGTGGCAGTAATTTTCATTATATGGCTCGGATTTTCTTGAGACTTTTGATAAGCTTGATGTGTTTTTGCCTTTTCAATTTCACATTGCATCACAAACTTAAGTAGATGCAGGTTCAAGAAGAGCAAACAATATTTTGTTTTCCACATTAACTAGATGCATTTCTTGCTATAAAATGGATACACCGTCATGTTCTACTTTGCTTCTGTTAGCCCATGGGAAAACTTATTGAAATAAGCTTTTGTTGCTTCATGCTAATAATCTGAGTAAGCAAAAGAATGGGAGCGGCTAGATGTCAAGTGACTGAATCTAAAATTTTGGGTCAGACACTTTTTTCTTCTTTAACAACTAGCTAACCAAAGACGGGAGCTACTCGAGGGAAAAAGCAGCCGTGGTGCCCAGCCCATGTGGGAAAACTTATACTGTCAATATGTGCAGTCCGACACTGCATTAGTACGTACAACACTGGCTCGCTTCGTCCCTCGTGTCTTCGCATGCAACACTGAATATCCTTCGCTTACACCAATGATCTGTCAGGTCGGCTAGTATTAGCTAGTTAGCTCGAATCAGCTGATCAGTCCGACATGCAACTGCAAGACCGTATTATCAGCTAAACTACACTAGCAAGCAACGCTCCACAGGCACAGGCAAGACTCTTTTTTCTGTGTTCTCCTCTAGGGTGGCCTGCCCAATTTTATTTTCCATTATCCACCAGTGTGGCTAACTACTCTACACAAAATGAATGATTAATGCATGCGTACAACAGCTCGAAGTGTACGTGTGTAAGCCATCAAAGAAATGAATAAAGCACAACCTACTATACAGATACACGCATGTGCTAAAAAAATCATATCTAAATTATATAATCTCTCAACTTTTTGCCACATCCTGCAATCGAATGCAATAGAGCATGAAAATAACCACCGTCCAACAAAAAAGGGAAGTTTTCCAAGAATAATGAGCTAGCGGCATTGGTATTACCCTTCAGAAAAAGGAAAGAAAAAGCAAATAAAATAAAGAAAAAAAATTGCACACAGTTTACACAGAAATTGTGGATATTCATAATATGCAAGAATAAGCATATAATAATGAAAGTTTCAAAAGAAAGTTTCCTAAGAAGGAATGAATTTGTGGCATGGTGTTACCCTTCAAAAGAAAGAAGAGTGTCAAACAAAGAATTAAAAAAAATTGCACACAATATACAAAAAAATTATGCTTTCAAATATATGCGAGAATAAGCACATAATAGTGGATTGTTTCTTAGAAAATTGCACTTTTTAAAAATAAGCACATAATAGTGGATTTTTTTGCAGAAACAATATTCATAAGAAGAATTGATTAGAGGCATTGGTATTACTCTTAAAGAAGAAACAAAATGAAACAAAGCTAAAAAATCAAATAATTAAATATTCTAAGAAATAATGAATTAGTAGCATTGGTATTACCTTTTAAGAAGAAAGAAAATGAAATAAGAACTAAAACACAAAAAATACAATCTAAAACAAACAACGACAAAAAATGCACCCAATATACACAAAAAATGCGCTTTTAAAAAATATGAAAGAATATGCATATAATAGTGGAATTTTCTTAAAAAAGGAAGAACGAATTTCTAACATTGGTATTATCTTTGAAGAAGAAAGGAACTAAACAAAAACTAAAATAAAATCAAGATAATGAAGTTTCATAAGAAAGAATGGATTAGTGGCTTTGGTAATACCCTTAAAGCAGAAAGCAAATGAAACAAAAAACTAAAACAATAAAATATGAAATTTTCTAAGAAAGAATAAATTAATGGCTTTGGTATTACCCTTTAAAAACAAAGAAAATCAAATAAAAACTAAAGCATAATAAAATAATGAAGTGTTTTAAGGATGAATGAACTAGTGGCATTGGTATTTACCCTTTAAGTAGAAAGAAAAGTAAAAAAGAAATGAAAAATCTGCACAAAATATACACTAAAATTGCGCATATTGAAAATATGCAAGAATAAGCATACAATAGTGCAATTATGGCAAACAAGAAGTTTTCTAAGAAGCAATGAATTAGTGGCATTGGTGTTACCCTTAAAGAAGAAAGAAAAATAAAATAAAAACTAGAATAAAATCAAAACAATAAATTTTCATAAGAAAGAATTAATTAGTGGCATAGTTATTACCCTTTGGGAGGAAAGAAAATTAAGAAAAACTCACACACAACTTTACACTAATTTGCACTTTTTATAATATGCAAAGAATAATTATATACTAGTGCAGTTTTTGCGCATATTATATAGTATTTATGTACATACATTTACACCCAACCAACATCCTAAAAATGCCCACAAAATAAAATTTTAAAACCGACTAATAAAGAAAAAGAAAAAAGAAAAGCAAAAAAAATAGAAATAGAAAAAAAGATAGACAAAAACAGAAGAAGATAGAGGAAGGCTGGGTCGTCATACGGGCTGATGGGGTTCAGCCTGTTAAGGTTTGACTCGCCCAAAACACTGGTCAGTTGAATTCCCAGCCCAAATCAGACACAACACACAACAGAATAAAAAAGGAAGCACGGATCTTGAAGCAGCAATCCGCGGTCAGAAAAATCGACTGACCCTAATTCAATTTTCAGGCAACTTACATATAGCTAAAGTGCAAAAGAATTTACTAGCATCGTTACAGTGGAGATTCCTAGGAGTATTTTTATTCAAATAAGCTTTTACTATTTCATTTCTAGCGAATACTTTATTCAAGCAATCCTTCACTTGCACGTTACAATGGAGAATCCTAGGAGTAAACCCAAGTTCTCCATTAGCACTTGTGGAGCCCAAATGTCAAAATATTTGATATCTCAGAACCGAAGCTAACTTCATGCTGTGTGTGTTGCCATGCGATATATGCATCGAGTTACTGACATCTTGATCTGCTGGGGAACAAAAAGGGTATATCAATGGTGCAGTCCTGGCTAGGAGGAATCCATTTGATCCTGTGATAACTCCATTTGGTGGTGCCCCTGTGCGCTACCTCGGCTCTATAAGGCAGACTATTACAACTTGCAGAGCTTGCTGCAGGAGAAAGCAACGAGCAAGATTGTTGCTCACATGTGAAGGACTTCAGGGTTGGCAGGCATGGCTACGGCAGCGTAAGTTTGATGGAGAAACCGATGTGAGGAAGCTCGACATCGCATCCATCGTAGAGTTCAAGCACCGTGAGCGCAGGAGCTCAACAAGCCTGCAGAGATCACACTCCTGAATGTGAAGTGCGTCGATAAGAAGACCGGGTTGCAGTTGACGGAGGGTTCAGGGTCGGTAGTTAGGTTCAATATTATTCCAGTCGCAAGGCTCTATGGCTATGTAAAAAATACTCTGTTCCTGCATCTTCTATGAAACAACAATTTTAGAACGCACATATATGTACGAAGAAAAAGGCTACATGAGGCAGTCCAACATAAGTCAATTCCTATGTAGGATGGCAATTCCTTTGTCATCCAAGGGACAATTCAAAAACGAATCCAGAAGCGGCCAAACAAGCTAAAGAGCAAAAGCAAGGGAAAACATAAGTAAAGCAGATACAAGCAATAGCAGAGAATTATAGAAATATAGCTAACATATAGTAGAACCAACAATAACGAACTGTTCCACGAGTACCACAAACAGCTAACCGCGCTTAATGTTTGGCCAGCCAAAAGACAAAACCGATACAGCTAAAACGTGCCAAAACCATCCAACGTCGACACTAAGATAAAAACAACTAGGCGGTGCAGGGCATGGACATCTGACGACGACAGCCGACAGGCAGCCTTGGCGCTTAGTCGACCTCCTCCATCTTGCTCTCGCCGGCGTCGTCCTCCAGGGGCGGCATGTCGGTGTCGTTCTCTGGCGCCTCGTCGTCCTCATCAATGCTCAGGCCAAGCTTGAGCATGCGGTAGATCCTGGTGCCGAAGGTGTTGGGGTCCTCCAGGCTGAAGCCGGAGGTGAGCAGGGAGGTCTCGAAGAGCAGCATCACCAGGTCCTTGACAGACTTGTCGTTCTTGTCGGCGTCGGCGCGCTTGCGGAGCTCGTCCATGATGGTGTTCTCAGGGTTGATCTACATGGTCTTCTTGCTCGACATGTAGCCAGCCATGCTCGAGTCCTTTAAGGCCTGGGCCTTCATGATCCTCTCCATGTTGGCGGTCCACCCATACTCGCCAGTCACCAGACAGCAAGGTGAGTCCACCACACGGTCAGAGACGATAACCTTCTCAACCTTGTCGCCCAGCACCTCCTTGATGACGTTGCACAGCCCCTCGAACTTCTCCTTGAGCTCCTCCTGCTTCTTCTTCTCATCCTCGCTCTCATCAAGCTTCAGACCCTCCTTGGTGGCAGAGACAAGCTTCTTGCCCTCAAACTCCTTGAGCTGACCAATGGCATACTCATCAATGGCGTCAACCATGTAGATGACCTCATAGCCCTTCTTCTTCAGCTTCTCAAGGAAGGGAGAGTTCTCCACAGCCTTCTTGCTCTCACCAGTGATGTAGTAGATCTCGTTCTGTCCCTCCTTCATCCTGGTCACATAGTCCTTGAGGCTCGTCAGCTCATCACCACTCTTGGTGGAGTGGTACCTCAGAAGCTCAGCAATCTTGGTCCTGTTCTGGGAGTCCTCGTGGATGCCAAGCTTGAGGTTCTTGGAGAAGGCCTCGTAGAACTTGTTGTAGTCCTCCTTGTTCTCAGCAATCTCAAAGAAGAGCTCAATGCACTTCTTGACAAGGTTCTTCCTGATCACCTTGAGGATCTTGTTCTGCTGGAGAGTCTCACGGGAGATGTTCAGGGGAAGGTCCTCTGAATCAACAATGCCCTTGACAAAGCTCAGGTACTCAGGGATCAACTCCTCACAGTTATCCATGATGAAGACACGGCGCACGTACAGCTTGATGTTGTTGGCCTTCTTCTTGTTGTCGAAGAGGTCGGGGCCCTCTTGGGCACAAACAGGACAGCCTTGAACTCAAGCTGACCCTCAACAGAGAAGTGCTTGACAGCCAAATGCTCCTCCCAGTCATTGGTCAAGCTCTTGTAGAAAGCAGCGTACTCTTCCTTGTTGATCTCCTCTGGCTTCCTCTTCCAGATAGGCTTCTGCTTATTGACCAAGTTCCACTCGTGAGAGACTTCCTTGATCTTCTTTTTCTTCTCTTCCTTCTCCTCATCAACATCCTCAACCTTGCCCTCCTCAGTATCCTTCTTCTCCTCCTCATCTTCATCATCAGAAATTTCCTTTTCGGTGGTCTTCTCAGCCCACAGGGAGATGGGGTAGCTAATAAACTCAGAGTGCTTCTTAACTAGATCCTTGATGCGGTGCTCCTCAAGGTATTCCATCTTTTAAAAAAAAAAGGAGGATGACCCCAGCCTCTGCATCTGGGAGATGCATACGGCCACTTTATTGATTATTCTCGAGGACCTTACAAAGTATTACAACAATATGCGTGAATCCACCATCTTGGCAACATATGCCGCTACTCCTATCCAAAATGATGAAGGGGTGCTAGCTGGGCCACTACCCAAACCACTCACCTAAGCCTAACATCAAAAGCCGGAAGCCGAAACTCATTCGGAGGCCCCAACCGAGCCACATACCGGGTTTGGGGCACAATCCGGTCAGACGCACTTGTGTGTCGTCGCCGCCATCTTCCACAGGTCTTCAGATCATATTGAGGCTTCTACCTTGTCTGGCCACTCAGCCATCGACGTCACCATGACGCCAGACAGCAACCTCCTCCTGCGCGAGCCCATCTCCGCACATCGGACGCCGAGTCTCCACAGCGCCATGCCATCGATCTCCGCCGCCATCAAAGTGTGAGATGAAACACCGCTCCACCATCCCTCCAGCCAGCACTTGCTCCAAGACGATGCCCCCAGAAGGGTAAGCGATAGAACACCATCATCATCCGATCCGGAAGACCCAGATCTGGGGTTTCCCCCTAAGCACCCCGAACCTGATGGCGCAGACTGCCGACGATGCCTCGGCCATCGGCAGTAGCTCCACCAGACGAGCGTCGCCTACGTCGCCGCAACCTCCAAGATGAAGCTGACCAGAATGCATGTGTCGACACCGAACCGCCGCCACTTCTACCGCCACTTGAGCAGCCCCCGAGCAACACCTTCAGGAAGGAGCACGGCACCGTGGTGTCGTCGTCGCTTGGAACAGGGGGTTCTGAGGTTTTCACCTGAGCTCCTGGGAGGGGTGGAAGGAAGGAGGTCCTCTCCGAAGCCTCCAACGAGGGAAGCAACACCCAAAGGCACTGCCATCGGAGTGGCCGCCACGCCGGCCAAGAGATTCCCCCGGAACCCTTCCAGCCACCGGGTCTGCAAGGCCAGCACCCAAGAACGGTGACCGAAGCCACCAAGGGCCGGAACCGCTGCAGATCGGAGTAGATCGGGGTCGAGGACGAACATCACCATGGCCACCAACATCCAACGAGGAACCGCCGCCGTAGCCGAAGCCCACCACCTCCCCGCCATCCACATGTTCAGGGAATTGGTCCACCTGTCCACGCCGGCGCCGCCCGCCGCCAAGCTGCGCCGCGTGCCACCAGCCATGGCCGCCGCCATGGATCCGAGCCGCAGGCGGGCCGCCAGCCGCGGGGCCCCGTGGGCACACCAGATCCGGGCCGCCAGAGCCACGACGCGGCATCCAGGCGCCAGATCCGGATCCCCGGCGCGCGAGCACGGCGCCTCAGTGCAGCCAAGCCCGCCACAGCGCGCGCCCTCGACGCGAGAGCCGCGTGGGCTGGAGACCTCATGCTCCCACGGCTCCTACGTCGCGACCATGGCGTGCCGAGCAGCGCCGGCCCACGCACAGCCACACGCCGCAGCGCCTCGCGCCTGCCTCCTCGGCTTTGCGCAGCTGCCCCGCGCAGCCCACCTCGCAAGCGGGAGTGGAAGAGCCTGCCGCCGCCGACACCACACGGGCTTTGCCCGGGCGGCGCTCGCCGGCGGCGGCGGGGGAGGAAGGGGGATAGGTGGCGGCGGTGCCCGGCAGCTAGGGTTAGCGCCCGGGCCGCTCGCGGGGAGTGACACGGGGTTCCTCAAAGCTGAGGTCAAAGGAAGGCTCTGGAGTCGGTTCCGATAGGTCGTGTTAGAAAAACTTTCCAAACAAGCGACCAGTTTGTATCCGGATCAAGGTATTCCATCTGAAAGCAAATTGTAACAAATCAGGCAATGAACAGAAAGCATGTGCAAACAAATACTATACACAAAAACGATTTAAAGAACAGCCAAACATACATCAATACAAAATCAAAAATGAACTACTAGAATACAGGTAGAAATTCCATGCAGATATGTAATTCCATAATACATTATTGCAATTCAAACTGACATAATGTTTTATTGCAGTAATTAAAAGAAGGTCAAATCAATAAGTACGAGTTAATCCATGCATTTCTTACATATGAGAGCATTAGAATGCAGTCAACATAAGCTCATCATCAATTTAATGATTTCACAGTCAAATTTAAAGTAATAAACCTACCAATCATGGTTGGGACGTCAATTTATACAGGCTACATATCAACCAGCATAGATCTTAATCAAGCTGAGTCCAGGCATGATAAAATTACTGGTATCAAATTAACACAGAACTATCCCAATTCTAACAGCAAGCTGGTTAAGCAATGCAGCCTCCCAGATAAGCATACACAACTAATCACATTACCATCAAATTTCCGCATAATAGAGGCAACAGAGTTTTCTCATGCAGTGCAGAACTATTGGACACAAAAACATACAGTTTAGATCAAGATAAGCCTATCTACCAGACCGTTGTAAGCACAAATCACATCAACACATGGTCAGTAAGCCAATTATCACAGTTTAAAAGGCTTAGACTACATAGACAAGTAGATCACGGAACCGACAGGACTAAGCTTATGCAGTGCAGACATAGATGCCACAAAATCATACAGTTCAGATCGGGAACAAGTCAAACAAGCAACCTACTAATACAGCTACACTAACCACAGAACCAACATCAAGACATGAAGAGTAAATCAATCACGGCATAGGAGGCTTGGACTGCATACCTGGTCGTCCTTGAGGTAGAGGACCATCTTGGTACCCCTGCCGAGCTGCTCCCCAGACGTATCACGAGTGACGGTGAAGGAGCCACCGGCCTGGGACTCCCACATGTATTGCTCGTCGTCGTTGTGCTTGGTGGTGACGACAACCCTCTCAGCGACGAGGTAGGCGGAGTAGAAACCGACACCGAACTGCCCAATCATGGACACATCGGCGCCGGCGGTGAGGGCCTCCATGAACTCCTTGGTCCCCGACCTGGCGATGGTCCCGAGTGTCGGATTTCGGGTTCCGGCAGACCCTCTAGGTTCGAACACTGGGGTGCGCGCGGAGATCTCGCCCTCTACCTACCTGCACCTCGCCGCCTCGCTAGGATCTAAACTATGAAAGGAACAACACAAGAGACACAGGGTTTATACTAGTTCGGGCCACCGTTGTGGTGTAATATCCTACTCTAGTTTGTGGTGTGGTGGATTGCCTCTTGGGCTGATGATGAACAATACAGGGAAGAACAGCCTCGCGAGGGTCTGTTCTTGGCTGGTGCGATTGAGGGAGTCCTGGATTAGGGGGTGTTCGGGTAGCCGGACTATACCTTCACCCGGACTACTGGACTATGAAGATACAAGATTGAAGACTTCATCCCGTGTCCGGATGGGACTTTCCTTGGCGTGGAAGGCAAGCTTGGCGATGCGGATATTCAAGATCTCCTACCATTGTAACCGACTTTATGTAACCCTAACCCTATCCGGTGTCTATATAAACCGGAGGGTTGTAGTCCGTAGGCAATCAACTCCATATACAACAATCATACCATAGGCTAGCTTCTAGGGTTTAGCCTCCTTGATCTCGTGGTAGATCTACTCTTGTACTACCCATATCATCAATATTAATCAAGCAGGACGTAGGGTTTTACCTCCATCAAGAGGGCCTGAACCTGGGTAAAACATTGTGTTCCCTGCCTCCTGTTATCATCCGGCCTAGATGCACAGTTCGGGACCCACTACCCGAGATCCGCCGGTTTTGACACCGACATTGGTGCTTTCATTGAGAGTTCCTCTGTGTCGTCGCCTTTAGGCCCGATGGCTCATTTGATCATCAACAACGATACGGTCCAGGGTGAGACTTTTCTCCCCCGACAGATCTTCGTCTTCGGCGGCTTCGCTCTGCGGGCCAATTCGCTCGGCCACCTGGAGCAGATCGAAAGCTACGCCCCTGGCCATCAAGTCAGGTTTGGAAGCTTAAACTATACGGCTGACATCCGCGGAGACTTGATCTTCGACGGGCTCGAGCCACGGCCAAGCACGCCGCACTATCTCGAGGGGCATGATCTAGCTCTGCCCCCGGACAGTGTCCTGGAGGCCGCACATGCATCGGTTCCGACCCCTAACTCGGAGCCTATTGCGCCAATTGAGGATGAGTGGTTGGACGTCACCTCGGGGGCTGCGATCCTGAAAGCGATCGAGCCGAACGCTAGCCCCGCACTCTGCACGACCCGTGACTCCGAGGATCTGGACTCCTCCCTGGACTCCAAACCCCCCGCGCCCCTGCCAATCGAATCCGATTGGGCGCCAATAATGGAGTTCACCGCCGCAGACATCTTTCAGCACTCGCCATGTGGCGATATCCTGAACTCTCTCAAGTCTCTCTCCTTATCAGGAGAACCCTGGCTGAACTACGGTCAGCGAGGATGGGATACAGACGATGAAGAAATTCAAAGCCCACCCACCACCCACTTGGTAGCCATTGTCGACAATTTAAATGACGTGCTCAACTTCGACTCCGGAGACATCGACAGCATGGATGACGATGCAGGAGATACCGACGAACCAACGCCCATAGGGCATTGGACAGCCACCTCATCTCACGATGTGTACATGGTGGATACCCCTAAAGGAAGCGACAACGAGGAAAAAGGGGATGGGATGGGAGATCGACCCCCCAAACAGCAATCAAAGCGTCGGCGTAAACGCCGACCCAAGCCCCGCCTCGACAAAAACCCAGCCATAGAGCAGGACGAGCCGGTAGACGACAAGCAGGCCTTAGAGCAACCGTCCGAACAGGGCAACACGGATAGAGAAACCGAACATCCCTTCTCCGGCGAAAACGGCATTCCGGACGACCTCACGCTGAATAAACTTATGGAGCAGAAGAATCTCCACGAGAGGCTCGTTGCAACTGCACGCAACCTAAAAAAGCAGAAGCGGAAGCTAAAAACAGCGGAAGATGCACTCCGGATTAGATGGAGCAAAGTAATCAATACCACAGATAAGTACGGCGACAGTCGCCGCACTAAAAGCTATCCGAAAAGAAAGCTACTGCCTGAATTCGACGAAGAGGCCCTAGAGCCCTTGCATTCAAAAAATGAAAAAGCCACACGGTCAGATAGACGACCCCATAAAGCGGCAAGCGGTGCCGCACCTAAATCGGCATGCGACCCACTTAAGGATTCGCATCATGGCCCAGTCAGGTCCATTTATGGGCCAAGAAAGCAAGCTCTCGTAAGCAACGCTATGAAGCCATCATCAGAATCCGGCACACCCAAATACAGGGGCGCCGCACACCCCCTATGTTTCACCGATGAGGTCCTGGACTACGAATTCCCAGAGGGATTCAAACCCGTAAACATAGAGGGATATGATGGAACAACAGATCCTGGAGTTTGGATCGAGGATTATATCCTCCACATACACATGGCTAGAGGAGATGATCTCCACGCCATAAAATACCTACCCCTTAAGCTTAAAGGGCCAGCCCGGCATTGGCTTAAAAGCCTTCCCGAAAACACAATTGGAAGCTGGGAAGAGCTCGAGGATGCTTTCTGAGCAAACTTTCAAGGGACTTATGTCCGCCCTCCGGATGCAAACGATCTTAGTCACATAACTCAACAACCCAGAGAATCAGCTCGGCAGTTCTGGAATAGATTCCTCACTAAAAAGAATCAGATAGTCGACTGTCCGGACGCCGAAGCCTTAGCAGCTTTCAGGCATAACATCCGAGACGAATGGCTCGCCAGACACCTCGGCCAAGAAAAGCCAAGAACAATGGCCGCATTAACAAGCCTCATGACCCGCTTTTGTGCAGGGGAGGACAGCTGGTTGGCAAGGTGCAGCCCTAGCAACCCAAGTACATCCGAAACTAGGGATGGAAACGGAAAACCGCGACGCAACAAGGACCGTCGCTGGACTAAGGACAAAAGTCCGAAGAGCACGGCAGTCAATGCCGGATTCAAAGGCTCACAACAAAATCAGGAAAATTCGCCCCCCAGGATAACAGGGACGATCCATCCAACCTAAATAAAATCCTGGACAGGATATGTCAGATACACAGTACTCCCGGGAAGCCTGCTAACCATACCCACAGAGACTGTTCGGTTTTCAAACAATCCGGCAGACTCAATGCCGAACACAAGGGGCTCGACACACCAAGCGAAGACGAGGACGAACCCCAAAAGCAGAGCACCAGGAAACAAAAGAACTTCCCACAATAAGTAAAAACTGTGAACTCACTTCACATAACAAAACGTGCGGCGCCCGTAAAGGTATGCACCACACGGCCCATCCCCAAAGGGTCCTGCCACTGGTTGTCAAAACCGATCATCTTCGATCAGCTAGATTATACTAGGAATATCAAGAATGTAGGCTGGATTGCCTTGATACTCGATCCAATAATTGGCGGACTCCGGTTTTCAAATGTCCTTATGGACGGCGACAGTGGACTAAACCTGATATATCAAGATACAATCCAGCACATGGGGATAAACCCAGCAAGAATCCGCCGCAGCAAAACCTCCTTTCAAGGGGTAATACCTGGTCCGGACACCCATTGTATGGGTTTTCTCCGGCTCGAAGTCATATTCGGCTCTGCCGATAACCTCCGCCGTGAAAAGATGACCTTCCATATCGTCCCGTTCTCAAGTCGCTATCAAGCACTACTGGGACGCGAAGCTTTCGCTCGCTTTAACGCAATACCGCATTATGCATCTATTACGCTTAAGATGCCTGGTCCACGAGGCATCATCTCTTTGAAGGGGAAGCACTAAAGTGCGCCTCCCCAAGCGGAGGACTGTGCGGCCGCTTTGACAGGCCCACAGCAAAATGGCCTCACCGGCCAAAAAACTTCGAAATAGGTCATTCAAGACCACGAATGCGGATAAACGAGTTTGGTGCAAAATCATCAATGATGCAGGCCTAGAAGCCATATACCCCCACACTAGGGGCTCCACGCATATACAATAAGAGACAATAAAGCTCAAACTTATATATCTTACTTTATACTTTGCTTATTTTAAACTTTTTCGGCACGACCCGTTTTCAACTCAGTTCCTCTCTTTTACAGATGAACGTCGTGCGGCGCCCGTCCAGGATACGGCACAACGGAGACACAGGCGCAGACATGCAGTAGGGACCCATCCTAGAGGATTCTTTTTAGATTAAGACCCTGCGTAAACCTTTTTTACTGTCTCTTGTTGCTACACATCACCTGGTTTTTTCTTTCTGATATAACCAAGGAGGAGGCTGGTGTCTTGGCATGTGGCCACATCAGAATTTTTGCACGTACCTGGACACTAGGGGCTTTTTTAATAAAGAGTGTTGTTTCGCCCGCACTCATAAAGACCGAACACCTTAGGGAGTGTTCGGCGTCGCGAGTTTTGGCATTATATGCATCAGCTCCGAATCATGTCTTTGGTCAAATGTTGGGTTGCCCGGCTCCTGAGTTCGGCTACCTTACGTTCCGCTCTATCGGCTAAGGTAGCACCGGGAGAACTACTGCGATTGTGCCCCGGTTCGGCCGGGCGAGCACCTCAGTAGAGAAAGCCGAAAACTGACTATCATGATGTAGCGTGAGACTGGTCAGCCACTCGATGACCTATCGGAATCTATCGGATTCCTCCGCTTTAACGAAGGGCCGCTTCCCGGTCAGGCACATATGCGCCCCGAACTCGGACGAGCGCAGTTGCCACCAAGGAGCTACCTAAATAGTCTCACTGTCAAACCCCTATGGCTAAGTGAAAGTGTTAAAGCATTATAGTCCGGTTTCCTGGCCCACTGCGCTATCACCTCCTTTGTAGGACCAAGACGTTGGGTTAAGTGTGAAAATGCATCTTCTGCGAGCACCCCCGCACTATGTGCGTGGGGGCTGAAGCCAACGACTGCCATCTTTCAGATTCTATATATATATATATATATATATATATATATATATATATATATCTTAAACGGCCGCACAGGAGGTGTTCCCAATACTTGGAGGCACAAGTATAAAAAAGGCCACTACAGTTTATCAAAATATTACTTTATAATTACATATGCTATCATAACATAGCATCTTTCGAGCACTGCATCTCTATTACACGAGCGCCTTCAAGAACTTCCTAAAAATAGTGCTCGGAGGGTACTCGGCTTTTGTCCGAATCTCGGGACGCAACAAGGGTGGTCTCCATCTCTGCCCAGTATGCCTTAACACGGGCAAGAGCCATCCTAGCGCCCTCTACGCATGCTGACCTCTTCATTGCATTTATACGTGGCACCGCGTCAAGGAATTGCTGCACCAAGCTGAAATAACTCTTCGGCTCCGATCTACCCGGCCACAGGTGACCCATGACGTACTTCATGGCGAGTCCGGACAACCTATTCAGTCCGGCCCATTGAGCCAAACGATCATCCACTGCCAGTGGACGCTCTGGATTGTGAAATTGCGACCAGAAAAGCTTTTCCACTTCGTGATCTTTCTGATCTCGAAAGTGTTCGGTCGCATCAGCAGCACTCGCTGCCAAGTCCAGATAGGTATCCTCCACACTCCACATCCGGTCCAACGGAGCAAACTTCGGATCACAAAACTTCCTCCGCAGCATAAAGGGCTTTCCAGCCGCAATCTGTTTGGCCTGACGCAGCTCCTCCTTCGCAGCTCTCATCGCAGAGTGAGCGTCCTTGGCATCGGCAACGGCCTTCTCTAAGTCCGTCTGTCTCGCCCGGTCTTCTTTCTCAAGAAGTTTGCAACGGTCTGCAGCACTCTTTAACTTCTCGGCCATCTCGGCCATCTCTTCTTTGCTTCGGCAGTGAGCAGCCTGTTCGGCTCTCAGCTCTTCAAGGGCCTTCTCGGCAGCCGCATCGCTTTTTCTGGCTTGCTCCTTAGCTCGGGCAAGTTCTGCCCTAAGATTCTCCACGGCGGCCGTACCATTTGCGTCAAGCACACACATTGTAAGACACTGGCATGAAGCTCCTCTTACCTGATCCCGCCCGAAGAATTACATACCTTGAGCCTCATCAAGCCGCTTGTTGACAAGCGCGATGTCGGCATCTACCACGTCCAGTTGCCGCTTTAGTTCGGCCACATCATCAGTTCGGCTTGATTCCGGACACCTCGCCACCTACATTCAAAGGCGACATCTTAGACCTGGGATTATGATCCTCTGCATGCCGTCATTTCTTGACAACGCGCAGAGTCTCAGGGGCTACTATCTACATAGGGCGCATCTTACTTACGCGCAACTGACAAAAGTGTACATTATCTAACGTACCTCAAAACCCGTCAGTAAAGTTTTGATGGCCTCATGCAATCCGCTTTCTGCGGATGAAATCCTTTCAATCACCGTGCCCATCAATGCATGGTGCTCCTCTGAGATAGAAGCTCATCCCAGCAGAATCTTTAGCTCCTCCGGCCGAGCACCAGACGGTGCCGGACTTGTCCTATGGCCTCTTTTGAAGGCCGGACGCGGAGAGCCTTGGGGGGCCACATAGCTATCTTCCGCCCCTGCCGGATTCAGAGAAACCCTCCGCGACGACACCTCAGGGTCACCCACCTCGCTAGGCGGTACGGCAGGGGGAGGCGTCCCCGCTCTCCATCATCTCCGGAAGAAGATCCCCCGAAGACGAGCTCTGTTGAGAAGGGCTGAGGTCCGAGCTACAAGGTAAAATTTCGGGTAATCTTCTCAGATATAAATCAAGGATTTCTCTCGTCCCTCAAAAGGAAAACCTCTCTCTACTTACGGCTCGCTGGAGGGCTGATCCCTTTGAGGGCGTAGTTCGGCCGAGGAACTCCCCGGCGTCGGACCCTCTGACGAGGATTTTCTGCCCCGCTTCGGGGCCATGGTCTCTGGGTTGTCAGAGGCGGCCCTCTTCTTCCCCTTGGGAGAGGAATTGTCGGTTCCTGCCTTCGGAGCAGCCTCCTTCGAGGAGGCCATAGTTCCCTTGTCTTTCCCCTTACTTCCCTCCAAAGGCATTATCTTCAACATCCTGACAAGCACGGGATCCGGCATGGTTTTGGGAAGGGGAGCCAGACACCTGATCAGCTTTTCCTTCGTTATCCACTCCTATTTAAAAGGACAGCTCTTTTAGGGGCAAGTTTATGATGATTATATGGATAGTAGGTCCGGGCACAAGGTTACTTACTTGGGTATCCGGGCGATTGCAGCTTAGGCCTGCGTCCTCGGTCAAATCCGGACACATCATTTGTGATCCGAAGAACAGTTTATACATCTCCACGGGCGTTGCGCCCATAAAATGCTGTAGAGCTCGTGGTCCCTCCGGATTAAACTCCCACAGACGAAGGGAGCGACGTTTGCCGGGCAGTGTTCGGCGAATCAGCATGACATGCGTCACCTTGACCAGGTTGAGGTCTCTTTCTAAGAGATCCCTGATGCGGCCCTGCAACAAGGGCACGTCTTTGGATAACCCCCAATCTAATCCTTTGTTGACCCATGACGCTAGCCGTGATGTAGGACCCGAGCGAAAGGCAGGAGGCGCCGCCCACTTGGCGCTCCTGGGAGCGGTGATATAGAACCATTCTCGTTGCCACAAGCCGAGCTCCTCTTGAAAGGAGCCCTCGGGCCATGGAGCATCAACATTCTTACTTATGACAGCGCCTCCGCACTCTGCGTGCCGTCCCTCGATCATCTTCGGCTCCACTCCAAAAGTCTTGAGCCATAATCCGAAGTGAGGAGTAACATGGAGGAACGCTTCGCACACAACGATGAATGAGGAAATGTGGAGGATGGAATCCGGAGCTAAGTCATGAAATTCCAGCCCGTAATAAAACAGTAGCCCCCTCACGAAGGGATCCATCGGGAAGCCTAACCCCCGAAGGAAGTGAGACATGAACACTATGCTCTCACCGGGCTGGGGACTGGGAATAGCCTGCCTTTGAGTAGGCAACCTATGCGGAATTTCGGCGGTCAAGAACTTAGCCTCTCTCAACTTTAGCACGTCCTCCTCCGTGACGGAGGAGGGCATCCATCGGCCTTGAAGGTCGGAACCGGACATTGTCGAACGTCCGAAGCGTCTGGAATCTGGAGCCTAGGGTGTTGGAACTCGAGGTGACGGGCGAACTCGTTTGAGATTGGAAAAAGGAGTAAGGCCTTGGTCTCTTTATAAGAGGTTGAATACCAGGAGCCCTCCCCGTAACCGTTTGGGACTCGCCTTTAATCGAGAAAACATGCTAACGGGCACGATTGGGTTACCCACATCCGTATTGATGAGAATCCCATAAAAGGGGGGCACACGATCTCTGCTTTGACAAGACGTGCCAAGGAAACCGCCTCGCAAAACACACTGAGATGGAAAAGTGTAAACGATTCGAGTAAAGGACTTGGCTGTAGTGTGATGACGCACTGTGAAATACGTCAGCAAATTTGATTTGTGTTAATATTATTCTCTCTATGGCAATATGTGGAAGCTTATTTTGCAGAGCCGGACACTACTCTTGGTGTTTACAATCTTCTATGAAGGACTTGGAGGAGGAACCCGCCTTGCAATGCCGAAGACAATTTGCGCGCCGGACTCATCGTCATTGAAGCCTAGTTCAGGGGCTACTAAGGGAGTCCTGGATTAGGGGGTGTTTGGGTAGCCGGACTATACCTTCAGCCGGACTCCTGAACTATGAAGATACAAGATTGAAGACTTCGTCCCGTGTCCGAATGGGACTTTCCTTGGCGTGGAAGGCAAGCTTGGCGATGCGGATATTCAAGATCTCCTACCATTGTAACCGACTTTATGTAACCCTAACCCTATCTGGTGTCTATATAAACCAGAGGGTTGTAGTCCGTAGGCAATCAACTCCATATACAACAATCATACCATAGGCTAGCTTCTAGGGTTTAGCCTCCTTGATCTCATGGTAGATCTACTCTTGTACTACCCATATCATCAATATTAATCAAGCAGGACGTAGGGTTTTACCTCCATCAAGAGGGCCCGAACCTGGGTAAAACATCGTGTTCCCTGCCTCCTGTTACCATCCGGCCTAGACGCACAGTTCGGGACCCACTACCCGAGATCCGCCGGTTTTGACACCGACAGCGATGAACTGCTAGGGGGAGTTCAGTCGCTCTCTCTCTGCTGATTGATTTCTTGATGCCGGATCAAGATGCCCCTATCCTGTGGGTGGCTAGTCCTATTTATAGGCAAGGGCCCTGGGCCTCTTCCCAAATATTGAGCGGGAAGGGCACCAACAATTGGCCATTTTGAAGGGGAACATCTAGTACACTTATCCTGACTAAAGTTGGTCCTTGCCTCTCAAAGGCTCTGGTGGTGACGCCAGATTGGGCTCCACGATGACTTCCTTCCTGCCATTGCGACGGTCTTCGTCTCGTTGCACCGAAACGGATGCCTTTGCTTGATGCTTTCGCCTACGCTTGCTCCCTTTGCACCAAAGAGGAAAGGAGGACACTGCGCGGGCTGGCGCCCGCCTGGCGCCCTTGGTCGTCATGGCTTGCGTCATGGGCACCTCGTGAGGTACCCCGCCTTGATCTCTCCGCCTCCTCGCAAGCCAGCCTAACGAGGCCGTGCTTGAGGAAGCTTCCTGTCGTCCGCCCCGCGAGGCTTGGCCCCTCGCGAGGGTCTTGAGCTTGTGCTAATGAAGATGGGTCGTGCTGGGCCACCCCTTGAGCCACGCCGCAGGCCGCAGGCAGGCAAGTCTGGGGACCCCCGTTCCCAGAACGCCGACAGTAGCCCCCGGGCCCAAGGCGCACCCGGACTTGGCGGAGCAGAGAAGCGAAGGGGCAAGTGTGAAGCATCGCAGGCCCTAACAGCCTGCGGCCTTGGGCGCCGCGTGGCGGTTGGTTGAATGTGGTCGCCTTAGCAACTGCGCGAATTGACAAAAGAGCGGCGTCTGTCTAGGCTTTGCTTCCTCCGGTCATTGCTCAGATCCCCTTTCTTGCGCCTTTCCTTCCTGCCTTCGAAATCTCCAGATCTACTTCGACCACGTGCCTTAGCAAGACATGGCGCCTCGCCAGGCCCCGGCCGGAGCTTGGTACTCAGTCGCCTTGGACTCGCCGAATGTGGCAGAGGAGGGCCTTGCCCGGGTGCGCCGGATGGTGGCGGCGTAAGGCATCGACGGGGCAAAGGTGTTCAAGGCTGGCTCCGCCCTTTCCGAGGGCCAAGGAAGCACCTTCTATCCGCTCTTCATGAGCGCCATTGCTGCCGGTCTGGTGCCTCCCTTTTCTGAGTTCTTCTTCTCTGTCCTCCGCCACTACAAACTGCAAGCTCTGCACCTCCACCCCAACTCTGTTCTTATTCTGGCGATCTTCGCCTACTATTGTGAGGCTCACGTCGGGGTGCAGCCCTCAGTGGCCTTGCTGCGCCACTACTTCTCCCTTCGGACCTCTCGCGGTCCCAT